GCTGCGAGGCCTGTCTGGCCCCTCCTTTGCACCCGCACGGCCACGCCGGTCTTCCTTTGTTTGGTGGCACCTGAGACGGCAGAGTGCACTCTGAGCATCCGCCTCCTAACGCTCAGTGAGCCGTGGGCGCCTGGCCACCACCCACACGGCCTTCCCATCAGGAGCCGCCGAGGGTCCCGATGTCCACCGGTGGTGGAGGGGGGCCAGGAGCCGCCCACGCCCTGCTCATCCCCCAGATGGACCATTTTGGCGTTGCGGTGGGTGGTAGGTTCTGATTTCCACGTGTGCCAACGTCCCTCCTTTCACTTTTCCTGGGGCAGGTGAACTAGAGCCTTCCCATGCCTTTCTAACCCTGTTCTGTGAAGAGTCCCTCAAGGCCTTTATCCGCTTATCTGTGGAGACGATCATAGTTTCTTAAGTTTGAACCGACAAGGGTCCAGGTCTGAATGAACTCCAGCGAGCTGAGAGATTTAAGAGTTAAAGCAGGCCTACCATCCAGCCACCTTCTGTTTTGTTTTGTTAATTGAAGTGTAGTCGGTTACAGTGTGTCAATTTCTGGCGTTCAGCCCAATGTCCCAGTCATGTATATACATACATATATTCATTTTCATATTCTTTTCATTAAAGGTTATTACAAGATATTGAATATAGTTCCCTGGGCTGTACAGAAGAAACTTCTAAAAATCTATTTTTATATATAGTGGCCAGCATTTGCAAATCTCAGACTCCCAAAAGTATCCCTTCCCACCCCCTTTCCCCTGGTGACCGTAAGACTGTTTACTATGTCTGCGACTCTGTTTCTGTTTTGTAGATGAGTTCATAGTGTCCTCTTTTCTTCTCTTTTTTAGAGTCCAGTTATGAGTGATATCCTACGGTATTTTTCTTTCTCTTTCTGGCTTAGTTCACCTAGAATGACGATCTCTAGGTCCATCCATGTGGCTGCAAATGGCATTACCTTATTCTTTTTTATAGCTGAGTAGTATTCCATTGTGTACATACACCACAGCTGCTTTATCCAGTCATCTGTCGATGGACACTGAGGCTGTTTCCATGTCTTGGCTGTTGTTTGCAGTGCTGCTCTGAGCACTGGGGTGCATGTATCCAGCCACTCTCTGTTTCAGGGTCCTTTGCTCTGTCCTCACTTCCCTGGTTAGAGCTAAAGTGGGGTGGGGTGGGGGTGGGGGTTACAACCCCCGACTCGGGGGGTGCCTTCTGCTCCTGGTCTCCACTATCCTTCTGATCCAGTGGGCTCATCAGTTCCTTTCTGATGAAGGGATAGGAAGGGTGCCCGGTGCTGACCCGGTCAGTCTGAGTGCAGCCCACGTGACGCCAGCTCCACTGAGATGGCCGGCTCACCCTTGTCCGCTGTTC